CAACTTTACCATGAGGTTTCCTCAATTGTCATGCAACATTCACATGCAAAGTGTATCATGTTACCCATTAAAAGTGAATATTAATTTAAGTCAACTTCGATTACAATTTAGATTAATTAGTAAACTTGTGAATTTGCAAGAAAACAAAAGGCCTCTTTGAACTCATCAGTAAAGGTCACTTTGACCATCAAACATGATGTCAAGTGACAATGATATCGGGCAAAAAAAGAAAAGAAATGTTCTTTGAAACTTTTCTCTTCCTCTCATGTTATTGATTTGATTCATTTATTTAAACATTTACCATTGAAATGTTTTCCTTTTTTATCCAAATGATAAGGTAAACAGAATGAAATTCAATGAATCATGAACATTATTTGATACTTTTCTCGTTTTCCCTTCTCTTTTAATCTTTACTCATTTCTTCATCTTGTCTGTTCCATGTGATGCTGAGTAAACACACAAAGTTTTTCAACTTTTCTCAATCAAATTAAGAGTCAAACTTTGAGTTAAAATAGCAAATGCAAATAGAATGGAAAATGAATGTACAATGTTGGCGAAAAGGAAAAAAGAGAAGAGAAAAAAACTTTTCCATTCTTTTCTTCTTTTCCTTCTTCATCATCATTATGATCAACTCGAGTTTTCTCTTTCACCTTTTCACTATTAATAACGAAGATGAAATTATATCATGTAATCTCAACTGTTTGTTTCTCTGGCCTTTTAATCTCAATTTGCACTTTAATATTTCCACTTTACTCCATTAACGTTGATTACAGTTCAATTCAATTTACTGTTTACTTTTCATTCTCATTTCATTTTCACCTTCACTTATTACATCAACAAGATCGTATGACACTTGTACAGTTTAACAACATTGAACAGTTTGATTGGAAAATTAAACAAAAGTTTATTTTATTTGATTAAAGATGATCAACATGATGCACTCATCGAGATCAACAATCATTTCATTTACTGTCAATTGATATAATTGTTGATCAACTCTTGACTTTACTCAACTTTTCAGTTCAACTTCAAGTTCACTTTTCAATGTTGATTGCAATAAAATATTTTAATCGCAACTTTGCTAATCTAGATTTGCATTAAAGATTTTTTAGTTTCTAGTTTGATCCAAATGCGAATGTGAATTTTGCTGTTTGGCCAGTTGATCAACAGGTAAAATTGACGGGCAAATGGTGCTGTGGTCTGTGAATGCCTTTTCATGATAAGAAGTTGAAAATGCATATGAAGGTGAAGATGAAATCCTTTCAAGGATAGTCTCATAATTGGTCAAATTATCTTTTGTTGAAGCTCAAACAAGTCCAAGGAACACACAATTTTTGCTTAACTTGATTGAATTAGTTTGCAAGCAAGAGAAAAGGGAAGAAGATAAAGATGAAAATGATGATGAAGAAGAAGAGAAAGGTTGGTAAAGAAAAGACAAATAGACAGAGGTAAATAGTTACGCTTGAATGATCATTTTTTTGTAGCTCTTTTACCTTCTCTTGACCATCTTCTTCATCATCTTTATCGTCTTCTTCACACTTTGAAACCAACCAAATAACCACTTGAAAGTATTTGATAGGTTTGAATGTACCTTAAAGGTGTTTTTCTTTCTTCTTCTTCTCTTCCAAAGATCATGAGAAGATGAAGATGAATATGATGAGATAGTATGAGTGGTTTTTAATAAAAGCAATTAGAGCTCTAGAAGGTAAAATTGGCAGAACAAGATGTTGATGAAGAAAAAAGAAGAAGAAAAGAAGATGAAGATGATTATGGAAAAGAGAAAGGTAAATGAATGTATACCTTGTAAAGGTAACAATGGTTCATGATGAAGATGTAAAGGTAAATTGTTTTGAGCCAATTAGGGCGAGTAGCACAGAAAATGTCATTTTTAGAGAAGCAAATGATTTTTGAAAAAAATGCTCTTTTCCCTTGTTCTTCTTTACACTTTCTTTTTCTTCTTCTTCGCTTTTCTTCATCTTCTTCTGTCATCATCATGGCCAACATCATCATTTTGTATGCTTGCATTTGCGCCATTATATTCTTGTTACTGTTTGGTCTTGGTGGAGTTCATATCATTATTGAATTGTTGCTACCTTTTCATTGTGCAAAACGCATGTTAATATACTTATATCCACTTGAAAGATTATTGAGAACAGGAGAGATTATTATTGTTATCATTATTATAGCTGGTTGAGCTGCTCTTTTGTTGAAAGTGAATCTTTTTGTTTTCACGTATTTCATGTGATCGGTCAAAAGACTCTTGTGCTTCACTATTGACCTGACACTTTCAAAATGATTATCATTAATGCCATTATAACCATCATTAACTACTTCATCAGATGCAATAATATCTTAATCAATCTTTAATCAACTTTTTTTCTGCTAAATTAATGCCAATTTCATCCAATTGCCTTTACCAATTCATCATTAAAGCCCAAGATTTGTTGCACCATTGCTATCATTAATTGACTTCAAACCCTTTTTTTCCCACTTGATCTTTACCTTTTGTTAGGTGGTTCAATTGATTATCAATAACAGCTATTAGTCAATATTTAACATCCTTTTTGCTCAATTGGAGGCAAGTTTAAGGTCAACTCACAAGGGAAGTGTCTCAAGTCATCGAACCGATTTCGATGAGCAGTGTGTCATTCAATTTGTCAATAACAGTAGAGTTGGAATTCTGAGATCTTTACCGTTAACCGTTCGCGAATTATGATTGCAAACCGGTGTAAAATTGAAAACAAAAGCCCGTTAGAAAAGGAAAAGGAAATGCGTTTTAACTGTTAAATTGAATAGAAAGACTTGAATTTTAATTTGAGAGGCGAAGTGGAAGTGTCTAAAAGTCGTAAACTGATGAGTAAAATCGCAACCTAACAGTTCACAGCATCAGATTATTTTGCATCATAATTGAAACGAAAAACTTTTGCATTTCAAAGTTGACAACTTTGATGATTAGCGTTGAAGTTGACCTTTCTTTTTGAATGTTGATTTTGGCTTAGCCAATGAAATCCTGAAAGAACGAGAAGTTTCTTATTGAGCCAGTGTTGCCCTTAAAATAGGAAAATGCGGTGAAAAAGGTTTCACTCCTAATTGATCATGTTTCAAATGAATGAATTTCAATTTTAAATCTGTTGATCTGATTGGCTGATGTAATGGTGAGAAAAAGTTGCTTCCAAGAAAAGTTTCATCCATATCTTGCATCTTCAAGTTTTACTTTGACAATGTCATTGACTGATAATTAAACATTACTTAGCAACATCATTATCATCCTCCATGATTACCAGTATTATTCTTGTTCTGCGGATGAATGAATATTCACTGAATTTACTCTTAAACATTACAAAAGTGTGTTCGTGTTTAACCAAAATTTTAGCCCATCCGGTTGAATTTATCAATATTATTGATGATTGTTAATGATGGCAGTGATGATGGTTGCAAGAGGAAGGTAAACTTCATTGTGCTCACCATAATCATCTGTTGACAATAAAATGCGAATGGTCAATTAGTGATGAAACGGCCAATTGTCAATGAGAATAAAGTTATTAACGTTTTCCTCTAATTAGACGGCGATTATTGTGATTATCAAGACGATGTCGATAATGATGATGATCATCAAAAGACATTTGCAAATATCATCAATGTAAAGGTTGAAAAACTTTTCATCAACAATTGTTATTAACATGAAAGAAAAGGTAAAAGGAGAAAAAGTCAAACTTGTTCGTAGTACTTCAGGTTTGCGTGTCAACCTACGAACCTCATTAGTGTCTTTTGTCATCCTTAATCATCTTTACTCTTCTTATAGGTTTCATGTTTAATGGGAAAAGAAAATTGTTTTCTGAAGTTTTCCAGATTTTGGAATTTTTTGGCGAAAAATTGCAAAACGAAATCAATTTTTTCGAAATTGAAAGAAATGAAAAATTGAGATTCTTGCACTTGTTACTCAGCATGAGATTATCTAGTTGGAACAACTTTTTTGATATAAAAATATGATGAAAGGGAATTCATGTAAACTTGAGTTGAATTTCGTTTTTTATTGAAGTTTTGAACATGATAATTAATTGCTAAACAATCGGGTAAACATAAAATGTTCAATGTTTATGATGCATAATATGTTCGTTTTATTGAGAAGGGAAAGAATAGAGAAAAGATAAAAAGTGAAAAGTGCGATTGAGTTATCAGTGAATCAGGTCAAAACTCATGCTGATATTTTTATTATCATTTTACCTTTTTAACTCTTGTGTGTTAATGGATTAAAGGATGAAGAGTGGATGGAATTGAGTAAAAAAAGAAACAATAAAATGATGAACAACAGGATGAAAGGAAAGAGCAACAATTATGAGATTAAACAAATAATCAGAAGCATTCCGAGCTTTATTAGTATATTAATATTTCCAATTTTGGAATTACTTTTCTATTAAACGACGTAAACGTAGCTGTTAAACTTTCACGCTTTTATGTAACAAAAAATGGCCAAAATTCATTGTCTTGGTTCGTCTTCAATTGAATTTGAAAAGAAATAGTTGACAGATAAAATTTCGTTCTAACTCGCGTTCCAACTTTTAAAAGCCTAACAATTTTATCATCTAACTCAAAATTTAACCGTTCAGTAAAAGTTAGTGAAAAGCCTTTTTAAGTAAATCGTAGGCATTTTGTTACAACTTAAACGTCAACTTAGCATTTCGTTTCAAGTGCAAAAAAATTGAAACGTAAAATTTCGGAAAATACAAAACTCGAAACTCTAGCACATCTCGAATTCAGCCTGAACCAAGAACGTTAATCTATCATTTTTCATACAACACTTTTGGGATAACTTTTCATTGAGTTTCCATTCATGAAGATGAAGATGAATTTGTAATTATAGGCTGAATATCATGCGCATTGAAATGAATCAATGAAATTTGCTCAATTTTCACTGAATCACTTGTTCATCAGTTTATCCATCAATTTTGACCGGCATTTGACACTCATGAAAATAAATGAATAATTGGCACAAGTTTTGATTGAAATGAATGTTATTATTTATAATATGGATGACTATATGAGAAAGGGCAAGAAAGAGAGAGAAACAAATTGGGAAAAATTTTCTTTTCTTTTTTACAGGGGAAGATGAAAATTCTATCCATTGATAACAATTATAGACAGATAGAGAGGTGAAGAATGATGAATAAAGAAAAGGAAAAGGATTGTTGAAGATGAAGATGATTATGGAGTGAAGATGCGAGTTGAATGGTGACAATCGGAAGGGGCTCATGAAAATTCCAAGTAGCTCAATCCAAATAATCTTTGAATCCATTTACTTTTGTGTGTGTTTGTCTTTGAAATTGCCGAGAACAAACGAAATGTCATGTTCACATTAATATTGGAATTGATTCGTTTACGTTTTTTTTAAATACACTTTTACAGGTAAATCAAGAACATTTTGTTTCCATATTCATTTATCTTTTGAATTCTGGTGTAATAATAATTTCCATTTGCAAATACATTTTGTTTCGTTAGTTTCTCGTTTGTTGCCGCACTTTTTGTTTTTTTTTCGTGTAATCACAGTGACTCAATTTTGTTGCTTTATTTAACTAATTACATGATCCTTGATTATCCAACACCCAAGTAGTTTTAGTTTCTGCCGATAAGTTATTTCCATGATAAGATATTTTTCCTTTTCCAGATTAATCGAGTTGCGGATTCTGATCAAATTGGATCTAAGTTTTTGTAGCCTTTGTATTTCCAGGTTAATTTCCTATCATCATCAATGTTCATTCTTTAACATCTTGGAACTTTGTAATGGACTATTATTCACCACCACAGACACGGAATTTTGTAAATTTTTCTTTAAATTCAACAACGATTGGTTGAATGTTAACGGCGGTGAAGCGGGCTTATCATCGATATCAATGGGATCTGGCAATGAAAAGAAATGCAAAATTTTCAGAAAACTTGAAAATTATTTCTCTAGAGTTTGGTCAAGTTGCCGAAGTTTCAGTTTTTTGAAATTTGAAAACAAATAATTCTGTTTAAACTTCGAAGTTCAAATATCAAATTTCATATTTTGAAGCTTTCAGGAAAAAGGAAAAGTTGAGTTTTTCAAATTTGGAAAAACAATTTTTCTTTCAAATTTCAAGATTGAGTTTTGGTTTTGGGTTTTTGTTAAGGTTGAGTTTCTTGAATTTTGCAAAAATGGAAAAAATGATTCAATTGGAGCTTCGAAGTTTAAGTCGAGTTTGTTTTGTTTTGAAAGAAAATCGAGTTTTGAAATTTCCTATACTCACCGTCATCATCAATGTCTATGTCATCCAGGTCATCGTCTGAATTGACTCCGTCATCACCAAGGCTTCCAAGGGAGGCATCTTCATCGGACGTCAAGTCCAAGGGTTCCCTTTTAGCGCCACCACCACTTGATCCATTTACATGGTGACCCTCAGATGCGGGTGAAGATGATGATCGAATACCGGTTAAAGATTCAACACTGAACCGGTGCAAGGAAGAGGTATCATTGGTTCCCACTGAAGAGGGACTAATAACGGTGTTACCCGATCGACCCGAAAGGGAAGATCGATGGTGGTGCGAATGGTTATCACGGTCTCGATGGTCTCGATCACGTTCACAACGGCTCGACTTGTGAATCGATGAATGATGTCCATGAATTCCCAATTGTTGTTTTTGTATTTGCTTTTGAATTATTCTAGAAGAAAAGTGGAGAAAACAAAATTTCAATTAATATTCATTACAATAGACTGTTAGTTACATGGATAAATATTGATAATTTAAAGAGTCAACAATAAACTTTCCCTCATATCATGTAATTCATCATAATGAAACAATAAACAGAAAAATTTTCTCAGACTTTTCATTGAAACTTTGATTGCAACCAAAATTTCCATGACCAATCTTGTTTGCACATTTACGCTTCTTAAAAACCTGTAATCATGATGAGCTGAACAAGAATCCAGAAAAAGGTTGGCAAAGCACAGTAAACGCTTCAACTTAATAATAGTAATGAGTTGAACAGAAAAAGATTATTTCTGTTCGTAAAATCGGATTAACCCTGTTTTACTGATTATTATTGTAATTTGATGAAAGAAGATGAAAAAATAGATTTTTTGTGTTCAATATTGAACATGAACAAATGACTTCATTACTACAGATAATGAGTGAAAGGAAACAATGAAAATGGTGAAAAGAGCTTTTAATCAACTCTCGTTGTGATAATTAATGTCTTTTAATTGTCGAACCAAATGAGAAGAGATTTCTCCTCGAATGGCCTCAACTCGAGTATTCAAAGTTAATACTTGGTGCCTTATTGTTATCATTATTGTCATTATTATCAAGTATCTATTGATGATGAGTTTAGTCCTTTTATTTTGACGTTGATTCTTCATTGACACATTTAACAGCTATTAAAAGGTGGGCCAACCCTTCACATGAAGCAAAAAAACATAATAAAATATAATGGACTGATAATATTACTTTTATTATGGAAGTACAAAAACTTAAGCTTGACTTGTTATTTACAATAGCTTCAAGGATAGGCTCACTTGGAAGGCTTGTTGATCATCATCATCATCATCATCCTACATCAGTTGACATCTATTCAAAGAATGGTAAATATTGAAGACTCGCTTTTTTTCTGATCTCCTCATTTTTATTTGCATAAACTTTTATTTCAGTTGAAACTACTATATTGAATTACGGTGAGAAGAGGCAAGATGATGAAGATGGTGATGACGAGAAAGAGAGAGAGAGAAAGGACAAGTTTGAAAGAGAAGAAGAAGAAAAAATTGAAGTTGAATTACAATGGAAAGAGTCAAAGTAGGATGGTCCATGTTGGGAGGAGGAAGAGGAGTGATGAGTTGTGAAGAGGATGGGAAGGAAGTGGATTGTCAATACTCTCTGTTTGTGATTAACACTCTTAGTGAGTAAACCAAGAGTAAACCTAAAATGTAAACTTTACCATTGTACAATCAAACAGTTAACATTGTTGCATTTGAACAATGCAAAGAAAAGTAATTAAAATGAAACAAAATTTAAACTCCCAATTGGATTCACATTGGAAACCTTTTTTTTGCTACTTCTTCAGCTCAATTGCAACTCATAAGCAATTTAAAAATTGATATCATCGAAATATCGGCCAAGTTATAGCAATTTAAAAAAGACGCAAATTCGGATTTTTCAAGTTTTTCAAGAACCACAAAGAATCTACTGCAACATGATAAAAGAATGCCGAGAAAAACTGACAAAATTCTTGTCCCATCGAATGTAAAGTGATAATCCATTACCATTAATCAAACCTTGATTTGAGATGCAAAGAAAATCGATGAAAATCTCTGAGTGAAAAATGCTCGAACTGACTCGATAACTTTACGAAAATCTCGAGATCAACAATCGACTTTATCTTGATGAAATGTCGATTGAAACTCTTTTTGATGAGTTGATCATTGAATCATTTTGCATTATTGTAACAAGAAATTGATCTAATTGAATTAACTTTGCTTTTAAAGCTTAATCTCAAGCGAATCTCATTGTCACATTATTAACATAATTGTGCATTGGATTCCCAGTTTTACCTCAACATGTTAATGGTTAGCCTCAACGGAAAGAGTCTGTTTTGACCATTGGAATCATTAATCAAAAGTTGAATCGCGCAACAATCTGTAAACACTTTTAGCCACAATCGCATGGTAACTTGCTAATTGATCATTTATTACAAATGATTTACCAATGAATACTCTTGCTGTCTACTCATGCCACATTATTAATCCATTTATCTTCTGGTTTCTTCCTTTTCTTTCATTTATTTTGTTTCTCTTCATCTTCATGTTTTTTCCCTTTCACAAGCAATTGACTAGTTTTAATACCTTAACCTTGCGTGTGTTTTGTTTGTATTACTTGTGATAATGGTATTGGTAAGTAAAGGTAAAGGTAAAGTAAAGAAATGCTATTATTTTACTTGTTATCAAATGGTAGTCATTAAAAGGTACTAAATAACCTTGCATCAATAATAATGCATAATTATGTTGATTATCATTGCATTGATGATACATGAAAACCTTGGTTAAGAAGTGACTTGAGCGTATCAATACTAATCAACTATGATTAGTAAATAAATGAACAATTGTGTTGACAGGTAACCAAGCATTCATCTTTTTTCTTTATCAATTATTTTCTTCTCTTATTTTTTTACTAATTGTTCTGCCTTCAATTATCAAAAGTTAGAAGAAGAAGAAGAAGATAAATTAACTTGCATTGGCATGTAATTAACAAGATGCTGACAGGATAGGCGGTTTGGACTCCCACCTTTTAAACCACCAACATCAGCACGATGCAGATGTTTATCATCATTCAGCTTTATTTACTCACTAAGACCAATCAATCTGCAAGATGAAAGCTCAAAGATGATTTCCATTACCATAACTTAATCTGATTAGAGTAAATGAAATCTGATCAAATCACCTTTTATTCAATACTTCAGCCAGTAAGAGGTCGACTCCAGCACTCTCTGCACAGTTTGTAATTAACAGTTTTCCCTTTTATTTTAGGTTAGGTCACAAAGAGACTTACATTGGGAAGTTCACAAAGTTACATTCTTAACTGAATTGAAAAGAGCAGAAAAATCGGCAAAAATCTTTTCCCTAAACTTCACAACGATTTTGAACAAAATTTCTAACCTCGGATCCTAGCTGTTTTACCATCAACCTCAGCTACCTAATCTCGACTCAATAACTCCAAAGACAAAAAATTTTTCTCAGAAACGGAGATCACTTTTTTCGCTATAAATTTTTCGCTATAAATTTTAGGCAATACAAAAGTGATATCAGCTCTTCAAAGTTGAAGTCAAAACGCAACATCGATTCGCTTACTTTGATCAAAATTAATCAGTCAGACTTACACCCGCAAATGCATGTATATTTGACCCTCCAATATCACATCACTTTGCAAGAAACTTACGAGCTGTGCAGAGATTTCTCAATTTTTCACTTCTTTTTCAACGAATCGCGATTTTGTTCAACATTTGTCCAACATTTGTCCATTTTTTAGATTTGATTAAAAATCATGTCACACAATTAAATGGCTCGATTAAACAATAATTTTCTCTCCCATTTGAATGCTCATGTTGACATGAAAATTGAATGACTTACGGCTTTTGTAAATAATGTCAATGAATCTCAACTTTAATCAAGCTTATTATTATCCTTATTAGACGTTATTCACGTGGTAAACATTTGTCAAGGTAAATTTGAATTAATCAAGTTTTCGCTTAAAGGGTTGAACAGGCAAAAGAGGAAGCAAAAATGATAAGTTTTTGGATGATAAATAATGATACAGAGAGTAAAGGTACAAGACAAGACGAGACTTGTATCATCAAGTCATGAAGAGAAAGAGATAAATTGAATATTAAATATAATCAAGAAGCGAAAGACAAACTCCAAGTAAATTATATTTTTCATTTTTTCTTTGCTTTACTCTTCTCGATAATAACTACAAGTAAAAAATAATGAAACTAACAAATGAAAGTTATGAATTGAAAAGATTTGCATAATTTGTTATCCAATCCCTGCGGGATCTCAATGGGCAAGTTAGACTAAATAGACATCATTTCATCTTCATCATCTTACCATCATAACCATCTTATCATCTCAATTTCCATCTTTCATCATCTCATTACAAGCTTATTAAAGACTTACCTTTTTTTTCATTCAGTCTATTTTACCTCGAATTACTTGGAATATTAATATTTTTGTTTCCCTGCTTTTTCAACACATAAGGATTATTTGGCCTTCAGGGAATCTTCAGATGAGGACAAAAAGTGTATCTTTATCTACCCTTAAGGATGACATTTACATTGTCAAATTAAATGCAACATTTTCCTCTTTTTTTTGCGTTTCGATTTTTTCCATTTCTAATTTTCAGTCAATCAAAATCTTTTGAAACAATTTCCATTTTTTACAGTTTTGTCGAGTTTTTGGTCAAACGTTTTGATGAAATGAATTGCAAACGTTTTCTCATTGTTCATTATCGTGTTCAGTTCATCTTTCATTGTATGAGAATGTTGAAAGTGATGAATAATATCAATAATATTTTATGATAATATTTGCTTTTCTGGTGAACAAGATGAAGAAAGGTGAGTTTTATTGACTTTATCCTTGGGTTGAATCATAAGTAAACCTACTCAATGAACACAACAGAAGCGGAATGGAATGGAATGAAGAAGAAGAAGAAAAAAGTTAAATCGTTTTTTTTTCTTAAACTTGACTGATAAGTGCTTAAATAAGATGTAATTTGAAAAGTTTTGAAGGTCAAAGTCAATTGTTGAAATAAGGTTTCAATGTGCTGATGATTGGAATGAAAAAAGGTAAAGATTAGGTAAATGTAAAGTCAAGATTGACACAAGAAAAGAAACAATCAAGATGGATAAGAGATGAACTGGAAATTTGCTTCTTCTTCTTCTTCTGATTCCTTTCTCGTGTTTCAAGATGCGAGAGATATTTATGATTCTGATGATTCTGTTGATTAAATAAGTGCAAAAATGGCATGAAATTGAAACCCCTGAAAATGGTAAAGTGACGTCTTTATCATTTCACTTTGGTCTCAACAGATTTTGTAATTGTCCTTCTTTACCTTGCCTTTCACCTTGTACACACAATCATTTGCTCTTTAATTATCATCATTAGTAACTTGCAGTTG